TTTTTTTTGTATTAGTGCATTCGAAAATTTCAGCAGCTCAACTGAAAATAAGGGCTGTTTGATGATTATGCCTTTTATGTAGTGGTACTTTGGATCGCTCGAGTAAACCCGGGTTGCCTTGCGGTCCAGTGCATCGCGGTAGAAACAACACGGGGTGACCTTTGTTCTCCTCAAACCCACTTCCCAAATTTTATGATATCCAACGTTAGTCATCACCAAAACGACGTTGCCTATGGCTAACTTCTGCAGAAACAGGAGCAGCCCCTGCAAGAGCTGGCGCTTTTGCCTTTTAAACGTTCCGCTTGCTCTATTTTTGGTGCATAGGTAGTTTATCATTCTTAACCATTCGAATCAGATGGAGATGTTCCATCCAAAGCCCTTACGCTATTTGTACGGATGCCAATCATTGTCTACACAGGCGATAATGTATCGTTTCAGTCCACCTGCAAGCTTCTGAACTCTATTCCCACCGCAACACAGACGGCACCATCCTTGTTGTTGATCTTGATGACAGAATTAACGGCTTTCGCTTAGTATGTGATAGACAAACAATCTAAATGCTCGCGGAATGGAGTGCAACATTTACAAAACTGATTGCAATCTTTTTGAAATGTAGTTTACAAATACAGAACTTACAAANAAATCTACAAAACAGAATGGAAAAGTGCGAAATTGGTTACTGTACAAAATCAACTGCAATGTTCACAAACTCGATAGGGAAATATTCATTGTTCAGGTCTCGCTAGTACGATTTTCGGGCCCCGGCCGCACTGAGACTTTGTTTCATTTGGACAAGCACACCAACAAGGACGATCTGATTGAGTTGGTTTTATTTGTCAAGCAGAAGATCAGAATAGATAGTTAAGTAGGATACGAAAAGGGCTACTGCAGAAGTGAAATGGATTTCACTGGGCCCTGTCAGAATTGTGTGGTATCATTCCTTCTCAGGAGATTAAAATACTGTAAGCACTTTGGAGAATTTCGTGGGTGCTGGTCTCCTACATTGAGCTCCAGAGCTTGATACAGAATAGAAAGCTCTCATTGACTGCTATAGAAGTAACGTGTTGGTTAACATCAAAGGGTTGAACGATTTGACCATTTTATTTCTTATTGTTCGCTTATTGTCATTGTTATTGTTGTTTGTTATTGTTATTATTCGCTTTATTGGCTCCTTCCAGAGAACTGTTCCGGATGCAGCCAACCGGTGGCACAACTCGAACTGGCGAGGCCATTCACTATGCTATCAAGCAATTTGCTAATGGAAAACATGGGGCGAGAAAAAACGTGCGGAAATTCATTGTCCTGTTCACCGATGGATATGCACAGGTTTTTAAACGAAATTTTACAACTATGAATTTTGCTGCATTTTCGTAACCAATAGAGGATGTTCTGCCACCAGTTCTTTGAGTATGATTGACCTTGAAGAGAGCACTATCATTGAAGTGAAGCAGGTCTATTGTCAGCACAGTCGATTGATTCACGCTAAGAGTACGCGTGCGTCGTTCTGCAGCTGTTGAAATCTTGCTTGAACACGGTTAGTCGTCAGAACCTCGGCTGACCTCAGCAGTAAAAAGCGTTGTCGGAGGAACACGACGTCCGACCTGTAGACCACCGTCTTATGGGACTCCTCTCACGAAAAAATCAAAATCAAAATCAAAGGTGAACGAAAGAAAACGTATGAATCGAGTAGTTGATACTAAACTTGCAGAAAATTTAGCATTTAGTCAATTAGCCACGCCGCTTAGCAGCTCTCGTTGATCTCGCCTATTGAAGTCTATGATTCTGCATACCCTTCTTCCCAAAACGATTACATTCACTCTCTCTTCTTTTTCATCGTATAGCAGTATATAAAATGCAAAAGTGATAAGTCCCGGGGCGTTTATGAATCTCGTCGGAGGGATGCGCCCACGCATTCGACTTACATGCAATGTCTTGTGGAGGCCATTCTATGTACGTACAAGTTAGTGCTTTACCCACCTAGACGAGTCTGGTGCCAATGAACGACCACGGAGGGTTGAAATGATCAAGAATTTGAACCCATAACCATGAGTGTGTGATATTGCGCCACTTGCCACCACACCATCTCCGCCCATAGCAGTAAACAAGGCCACGGTGTAAATATCAGTACCGTATTCAAATTGGAAGCAAATCCTTCCAGGATGATCCTGCGACTGCCGCTGATACAGCTCGGGAGGAAGGCATCACAATGTTGGCTGTTGCTGTTAGAGATCGGCTAAGACCCAATGAACAAGAACTAATAGAGATAACTAGGAACAAAGAAGTGAGTTGACTTTCTCCATGTAAAAGGCTTCATATAACGAATGACTTCATTCCAGATGATCCTTATTTCCCCCAATGGACAGCAGATTCGTGACAAAATCCTCGACGATAGATGTCCACTATAATGCTTTGATTTTCATCTTTAATAAAATACTTGTATGTTCCTTTTTTTCTGACGGGATTCATTCGTGCTGTTAACTTTCACCAACAGCCAGCAGCACGAGAACAATCATCGGGCACCGTATGTGTTCATAGGCAACTGTCAACAAACACCTCTGAAACAGTTCACAATAAATTTGAAGTAGGTACTTAGCGCATTAATGGCGAAGAAGGCGAGAAAATCCTTCGAATTCGAGTGGAATCTAAGGATTTTAAAAGTTGTGAGACTAGGGGGGTGCAGAGATTACCATAACAAAATGTAGTGCAGGAGTATTGGAATGCGATTTCATCTGTTGCAGTTGCCTAATGAGCTAGCTACATATATCAGGCGGTGAATGCCCAAAATTGCTTTTGCTGATGCGGTGTGTCACGACTACTTACTGTGCTAGGTTCTTAACATGGGTGTATCTTGTGAATTATGCAGCCCTGCAACGTCGTTGAACTCGTCCGCTTCTGGGTTTGGTCGTCGACGGAGCATTCTGTTTCCGAGCGTACAGCGCCTCTTTGGAGGCTTTTTGAAAACTTCTCAGAGTTTGATTCGTTTTCAAAAAAGGTGAATCAGCATGCCTTGCTCTGGAAGGGCGAAACTCTTCTCCCACCTTCATATCATTGATAAAGTACAACAATACCCACCCTGATTGTTCAAGAAATCACGAAAAAATGCAGTTTCGCTCTGTTCGTTTCGTTCCGTAACTGTATCGGCTTTCCTTCTCTTTTCCATAGAGAATGCCACATAATTTACTCAGCTTGTCGAGCTCATCAAATTGATTGACTGAATAATTGAAAAGCTGTATTTTAAATCATCACTTGTCGAATTTTCTGAAAGCACGTCATTAGCACCGATTGCTGTCCTATAGGCAGCGGACGGCTGTTGCTGCGCTGATGATTGGGAGACGGGCGTTAGGAGCGATTCTGGTTAATCGATTCGCCGCACGCGGCTGTCGCGGACCACTCATTCGCCGTTATTACAGCTCCGGCGTTCTTCATACAGCCCAATCGATAAGCGATCATTATTTTATGCATAATTCTATTATTAGTACTTTTGTTCTTGTATTTCTTACCTACTGCTTCATCCTGCTACATTCCTTCACGCGCGACCCTCTCTCACCGCGACGCGACCAATTCGTTCTTAACGCACCACACCCCCTGATGATTCAACTAACCACCGATTCGGTCGCTTCTGCTGCGTTTCGGTGATTCCATCCTGTGCACAAATACAGTTTCAGACCGCAAATGGGCGGGTATACTTCTCTCATTGCACATACGTGCGCCATTGAACGAAAACTACTAATAGAGAATAAGTAAATGCAACATTCAAACATCAAGTGGACAAAAAAAGTGAGCATCAATCCTGGGTGGAGTGAAACTAAAAAAGAAAACAAAAAAAAACACAACAAGTAAAAAAAAATCCAGCGACAGCCAAACTCTTGAAGGGAATAGCATAGAATGGGGAAATGAGTGTAACAGTGAAACACCCCTGCAGATACGTTCGCAACGCCAGTGCCCAAACGTTGGAAAAATCATTCAAAAAGAAGAGACCTTAAGCCACGAGTGCCAGTTCATGCCCGGATCATAGTGGATCCCGGAGAGCTCACAACTAAACATTAAGCCACACAAGAGCACCCACGCTTTGAAATCAAGAGGAGTGTAGGATGTTTGGATAAAGCTTTCTCACTAGATGTAATAAGGCGAGAGCAGAAGAGCGCAGGTCAGCTTGGGCATCAACTAACCGAAGTCATTCCGGAGCGGCCAGAGTAGTTAAGGCTCTTTGATCTAAATACGCACCCCAGGCGTAAGACCCAGACCCGAGCGACCAGTCCTAAAGAATAAGCTACTTGTTGACCTGCACCCTGAGCCCTTAGTTTCCTTCAAAATAGGCAAGTGCCTAGCGGATAGTGGCTTCGTAGAGAAAAATAACAGAATGAGCACGGGATGGAATCAGCTCAGGCAAAGGAGTACTCAAGGCAATTACGTTTACATCGTTTACATAAGAAAAGTGAAGAAATTGGGTAACGCGAGTGAGTGCAGGTCTGCGATTGCGAAACGACTTGAAGAATCAGATAACCATCTTAATATATGCTGGAGGATCAGAAACATTAAACTCATTAGCAAGCTGATCTCGACGAACAGTACAAGTAACAGTACAACTCAGCAACGTAAGCAACATGATCCAT